GAATACCTGGTAGATTGGGAAGGATATGGACCAGAGGAAAGATCCTGGGTGGCCTGGGACGACGTTCTTGACCCCACATTGCTAGAGGAGTTCCATCGGCCCCATCCTAATCGTCCTGCACCCAGAGGCTGTGGTCACCCCCGTCGCTGCTTGAGGGCGTCACGAGCCGCCCCTGGAGGAGGGGGTAATGTCAGCGAGTCACCACAATCACCTGCCACTACTTACACCAGATTACGTTCACCTGAGTTCTAATTCCCAGCACCTGTCATCTGCAATCAAGCCAACATTCAAAAGCATGCTCCTTCCAGTCATTCACTGTTCAGTCTACCGTTCACTACACTGAACTTACCAGAATCTCTCTATGCTATTGACCTGTGTCTACTTACCCTTATATTCCCGAGGTTCCTCCTTCATCGATCTCCTTCGTTCCTGGATCCCATACTCTCTGCAAACCTACAAAAGGAAAACCATCTGCTTAACCAAGCTAAGACTCACAGAACTGTCTATTGAGTTGGATACTCACCATTCATTGTTTCAGTTATTCTACCTCTGCAATTCCTGTCAATAAACCTGTTTATCCTTAACTAACCTGTTGTCTCCGGCTTGATCTGTGACATAACCACAGTGCTGCAGTGTCAAAGGTAAAATCCAATAGAGGCTTTCCTGCTGATCTGTATACAGTTTTTCTTTATTAGTGATCAGTGTGCGTCAGTTCACTAAAAGTCAAGAAGAAGCATCCACCACCGGAGTGTCCACATTGTCGAACCTGGTCCCCTTTAAAAAAAAAGTTTGGACACCCCTGCCATGGAGTCATAAACCAGATACTCAAGAATAATGTATGAAATGAAAACAAAAATGGCAAGTTTAATATGGTAATGACAGTAATTGAACATTTTATTCAAACAGAAAGCAATTCAACTCAAAAGCAGTTTTACAGACACAATATACACTCAATAGATTTTGGACTTTTACTGTGATTGTCTCCTCAACACTCCAGAGCAACAAATGAGACTCATGATAACAGCTAGAATAAGATCATATTAATATAGAGCTGCTTGTGATGGAGCAAAACATGAACACATCAGAGGTTTGGTGTCTCAGATCACCCTGATACACGCCATGAGAAACAGAATATTATTAAAACATTAAGAAAATTGACAATTTCACATTTTCTTTCTAAAAAAATCATAACAATTGACAGTTTTTTTTTAAAGACATGGACCTCAATCAAAAAATACACTCTTAAAAATAAAGGTGCTTCACGATGCAATAGAAGAACCTTTTTTACCTAAATGGTTCCATAAAGAACCTTTAATATCTGAAGAACCTTTCTGTTTCACAAAAGGTTCTTTGTGGTGAAATAAGCTTCTTCAGATTATAAAAAGGTAAGAAAGAGATGGTTCTTTAAAGAACCTTTGACCGAATGGTTCTTTGTGGAACCAAAAATGGTTCTTCTATGGCATCGCTGTGAAGAACCTTTTAAGCGCCTTTATTTTTAAGAGTGCATGCATTCACAATAAGAATGATTATATTATATATAGAAGCAAAACCATGACAAGATGGGATGAACCCTATTTCTCACAAACACCTTTTCTCTTCTCTGAACATGGCAGATCATTCCAGTTGTTCAGGACCGGATTTGAAGGCATCATTTCAATACAGTCCTCATGACTATGTTGGTCATTCGGCTCACCTGGGAACCAGAACCTAAACAACATGTATCACATGTTCAGTTTTTAAAGAGCACAAATTTATGAATCAACAATACTCACAGTATAACAGCATGTTTTGAGAATAAACTAAAGTAATACAGAAGCTTGAGCAAAAGTGAAAATGCAGAAAAGAATAAGAGAGACAGTAAGATAATTTTTTTTCAGTATTTTTGCATAAAATTCTAGGCTAACCGATGCATGTCATTTGCACTTACATATTGTTGCTCTTTTTTTAGTTTTGATTGCTTCTATTGTCCTCATTTGTAAGTCGCTTTCGATAAAAGCGTCTGCTAAATGACTAAATGTAAATATAAATGTAAGAGAGAGAATAATATTCTTAATAGAATTTACAGTATTTAAAGTGGTTTTAGTTAGGTGTTTGTGGAAGAGTTTTGTGGAAGAGGTTGATTTTTAGCCCTTACCCTCTATTCAGCAGTGAATTATCCACCCATTTCATGTTGCCCTCCTGCTCTGTGTCAGACAAACCAATCCACACTCTCTCCGTGGTAAAAGAAGATATGAACCTCTGTGTGTGGAGAGGAATAACAAGGAATAAGTGTGATTTCTCTCATTCATTAACAGACACTAACACAAACTCACCTGCTTCTCTTCAGTGTTGATAATGACCAGATCAGCTCCATGATCCCTGCAGTACTGCCTGCTGTCAGACCAGCTCTTCAACTCATTGGACATGAAAAGCCAACCTGAATCACAGAAACATGCACTTTATAAAACATAAAAATAAAAAAAAACATATGTGTACTGACCTTGTTTAGATGATTCTTTCTTCAGTTCCTCACTCAGAGAAGTGACTCTTCTTTCTAACTCCAGTTTCTTCTGACTCAAAGAGTTGAAGTTGTTCTGTAACTGGCTTTTCTCAGCAGTGAGATCTTTGACTCTGGTCTCCAGCTCCAGTTTCTTCTGACTCAAAGAGTTGAAGTTGTTCTGTAACTGGCTTTTCTCAGCAGTGAGATCTTTGACTCTGGTCTCCAGCTCCAGTTTCTTCTGACTCAAAGAGTTGAAGTTGTTCTGTAACTGGCTTTTCTCAGCAGTGAGATCTTTGACTCTGGTCTCCAGCTCCAGTTTCTTTTGACTCAAAGAGTTAAAGTTGTTCTGCAACTGGCTTTTCTCAGCGGTGAGATCTTTGACTCTGGTCTCCAGCTCCAGTTTCTTCTGACTCAAAGAGTTGAAGTTGTTCTGTAACTGGCTTTTCTCAGCGGTGAGATCTTTGACTCTGGTCTCCAGCTCCAGTTTCTTCTGACTCAAAGAGTTGAAGTTGTTCTGCAACTGGCTTTTCTCAGCAGTGAGATCTTTGACTCTGGTCTCCAGCTCCAGGTTCTTCTGACTCAAAGAGTTGAAGTTGTTCTGTAACTGGCTTTTCTCAGCAGTGAGATCTTTGACTCTGGTCTCCAGCTCCAGTTTCTTCTGACTCAAAGAGTTGAAGTTGTTCTGTAACTGGCTTTTCTCAGCAGTGAGATCTTTGACTCTGGAGTCCAGCTCCAGTTTCAAAGAGCTGAAGTTGTTCTGTAACTGGCTTTTCTCAGCAGTGAAATCTTTGACTCTGGTCTCCAGCTCCAGTTTCTTCTGACTCAAAGAGTTGAAGCTGTTCTGTAACAGGTCTTTCTCTGTTTGATCTCTTGAACTGGACTGTAACATGTGTGTAGCTTGTACTTCTCTCTCTGCCGTGAGCTTGATATGCAGAACTACAATGGCAGTCACCAGGAAAATGCACATGAGGCTAAAACACACTGTGCTCAACACAACACACTTATTTCCTATTGACAAACCTCCTGCCAAAAAGAAAAACATCAACATTCTAATAAAAATTGTAATCACTTTTTTTTGTTGAAATAGATAGGCCTTTAAGGAATATGTTCACTATTACAAAGATCTTAAAGTGCACTCCTGAACATATGCATTTGACTTCACACTACACGTCTTACTGTGGTTTCGAGCTCTTGCTTCAGTGTAGCTGAGTTTTCGGTCCTTGTTTGCATAAGTATCTCCATCTCTGTCCAGTCCCATCTCATTGTACTTGCTGCAGGTCTCGTGGTTGTCATTTTTATAAACACTCACTAGTTCCATGATCACTTCTCTTCAGCTGTGGACTTCGGGAGGACGAGTGCAGGGTTTAATATAGAGAACTTCCCCTAGAATTTACATACTGCTGACTGTCAAGAATGCAAACTTTGATGAACTGTACAGCTTCTCAACAAAAATGTTGGGTTCAAGGAATCCCCCCTCATTTATTTCGCAAAAACTTCATTTTAACCAGGGGCCAAACTCAACTGTTAAAAAAAAAAAAAAAGATTTTTCTTACTGGTCTTATAGTTATATTAAATGCATCTATTTTAATACAACATATGTTTCTGTAAAAATATAGAGCTGTTTTTTTTTCTTAGTGACAAACAGCAAAGCTCATTATGCCACTTTCTTTATATACTGGTGAATATCAGTAAAATAATTCTTGTCTTTATTGTGGATTTCTGTGAATTTGCTTTCAAATTTTCCAAAACAACTACAGAAGTCTTTAATATCATAGGCCTACATCACAATTTTTTTTAAACAGCATAGAGAAGCATTAAAAATTAACTTGTTACTGCATGTGCACTCATTCCACAAAGTCCTTTCTGACATTTATATACCAGTATGCTCAGTGTCACTATGAGGTGATGAACTACAGACTGATGTGCTGTGCTACACATAAATGCACATTTCTCTCCAAAAATACGGATGCTATTTTGCTTACATTTATTTGATTTTAACTTTAAATCCTGCTGAGCTTAAATAATTGGAAAACTGAACTTGCACAACATAAGGTTACTCTGAAGTAAACATTATAATGAAGCATCTGAGTAAAAAAAAAAAATTGCATATCGCCATCCATAATAAATCAGTAGGCTACTTTCAAAAATTAGCCTTCAAAAACAAGTTTTGGAATTGTGAATAAGGGGATGATCAGAACAGAGGATCTTGCTTAACCATATTTATTATGGAAATTTGCTTAGACATGCATGTGCCCCAAACACCTTAAGAATGGTGGTGTAAGCAAGTCATGCTTAGGTATGCATTAATTCATAGCTGAATAACAGGATAATTACGAAAAAAAAGCAACAGTCAAAATTAACTCATAACTCATGTATTGCATACATTTAAAGTTGAAAATGAAGCTATACTGATTTTCTGTTTAATTTAGTCACTGAGCATCTCAAAGCAATAGTCTGGCATTTGACTTATTAGTTGCAGCCGAAGCGCAGATCCTGCTGGAGACTCAACATGCCGTTGTATTTTTCTTTGAGTTCTTCGCTAGTCTTGCTCTCCTCCAAACTGGGCCAGAACTCCAACCACGTCCTCTCGCCCAGAGCATACTGACCGCTGGGAGACATCAGAGGAATTTTACTTAAAAGAGACGGTTTGTATACATTTGACCATTCAAAAGTATTTCATATTTCAAGCTCTGTTATTAATACAGATGCACATTCACAGATCAGGGCACACACACTTTGGATCACAGGTCAAATGTACTTACATTCTGCCCTCCAGTTGGACATCATCAGCCTGGCCCATGATCAGATAGCTCTCACCTCGCTTCAGATCCAAAGCTTCTTTGCAAGAGATCTGTAAGGAGAAGGTACGCTGCTCCCCCTCCACGTCGATTTCTGGACCTACACAAATTCATGTGTATGACATGTGACATGTTTGATTTTCTCTCTCTTGCTCTGAGTTATCACTGACTCAACATGGCAAAAAATCACCAGTGTCTGGTAAGATAAAGACCATTGAAGGGGGTCATATGATGCGATTTCAATTTTTCCTTTCCCTTTGAAGTGTTACAAGCTCTTGGTGCATAAAGAAGATCTGTAAAGTTGCAAAGACTAAAGTCTCAAATCCAAAGAGATATTCTTTATAAAAGTTAAGAGTCAACCCACGCCTACCTAAAACAGCTCGTTCTAACACGCCCCCACATGTCTATGTCACGATGTGGGAAGATTTGCATAACGCCGCCCAAATGTTCACGCAAAGAAAGAAGGCGTA